GTTTTATCGAGCTGCGTTGTAAAGCCTCTACCTTTGTCTGTGTCTGTCCACATAGCCATCTTTGTCGTTGTCTCAATGGCTTGTCCCCCTTCTCGGTTAAATTAGGTTTCAAGTGAATTACCTGATCAATGCCATTGCACTTAGGCACATGGGTTCCAGATTTGTCAAACGATTGGAAAGAGATAATGAGACTTAAATAGACATCTGGTATTAGCAGCGGTCCGGGTTCACAGAAGACAAAACACATAGGATGTTTTTCTCCTTTGACTTCAGGGGAAAAACACGTTAGTCATCAGGTTGATTTCCCAACATTTGGCATGAAGGGCCAGTGGTCCAGCTGGTGTGTATCTTAATAAATGTGTTGTGTCCGCGTGTGTGTGTGTGTGTGTGTGTGTGTGTGTGTGTGGGTGTGTGTGTGTGTGTGTGTGTGTGTGTGTGTGTGTGTGTGTGTTGGCCAGCATGGCAGCACTCTCTGTCCTCAGACAGGTCCTTCTCTCTGCTCCATCATAATTTGTCTCACGTATGCTTGCCAACAGTGTCTGCTCATCAATCCCAGGACAATGGAATCGTATCTCGGCCAAAACAGGGGTTTGTGTCTCGTAAGACATTATGTACGAATGGAGACCCTTAATTCTTTTCATCCTTTTTTACCACACTCTGCTCTGCTTGCACACTAACTTTGTTCAGATTATTTCACAGACGTTATTCACAAGCGTGGCATGTAATGAATAACAGCATAAATGTATTGATGTGTTTGATTTCTGTCACTTAAATTACTGTGGTAATTTTCAATGCAGTGTCCTGTATTGAAAATAGAGCGTACAATGCATAAAGAAACACAACATTGACCTACGATGGCTTTATCGTTTTTGCTCAAGAACCTGTAGGCAAACGCCTCCTTAGTTATACATCGAGTAGAATTTCTCTTCGGCAGGTGGCAACCTTTGGTTCGTAAGAGTGAAGCCAAAGCGGAAGTGTCTAAAACTTCCGTTCTCTCTAATGTCCAATCTCTAATGTGCGTCTCCTCTGGATGTAAACATTTCCATGAGAAAATGACCCTTCGTCTCAGTGTATTCATTACTTAATTACACATTGTAAACATGAGTTTAGGATCTAAATCGTTTCAAGTCTTGTTCAATACAAAAAGCTTTTATTAAGTAAATTGTGGTTCCACTTAGAGTGAAATCAATTATAAAGCGGGGCACGCTTTGGGGCGGGCTTACTGAGATTGACACGTCAGCGCCGCTGGCTGTTAAAAGCTGCTGACGATGAAATGTGTTTGTTGAGCTGATGCTTCTCTCTGTGTATATCACTTTGACCTGCTCCTTAAACATTACACATTAAACAGTGATTTAATCACTTGCTAAAATAAAACACTGATTTGAGCAGTTTAAGATTGTAGCGTGTCCCAATGCTTGAGGACGAATAAAGTCCAGTTCCCACTGTCCTGCCGTACTGTTGTTTTCATGGACGACCTCGTTGATGTAACCTCATCGCAGAGGATTACGTGATCCTGATTAAAGCCGTGTTGTTATCAAAATCTAAACCCGCCCCAGCTATGATACCTGGAACTGCCGGGAAAACGCAGCAGTGGTAATGGAAGTAACTCAAGATCTGGACACATGTTTGTGTGCATGTAATGTATATGTAGGCACCTGGTAATTAAGTCAGCTGTGTTGTTCCCATCGTACCAATTTATTCCAAAGCATCAACAACATTCTTCCACTCCAAACTGTGTGTTGTATCGTCTAAAAAAAGAAATGAGTGTGAATGTGTTCACCAGTGTCCGGGAGCTGATTAATGTCTGAAAATCTGGTGTAATGAGGCCAAGGTTGATTTATAAGCGCAGAATGCCCCATTCCCCTTTCCCCAGCGTGTACATGCAAACACATACAGCACACAGCGCCTCTGTGACAGCTGCTTCACTTCATTTAACGGATGCCAAATAAAAGCAAGTGAAACTAACTGATTTAAGTTTCGGAATCTATATTTGATGGGGTCCAGCATATGCAGAAGCATTGACCCTGACAGGTCAAATCATGTTTTGTAGCTTTGAATGAGGAACGAATTATTGTTAACATTTGTTCCCTGAAAAGGCTTCGAGCGCAGCTTAGTCCAGTCCAGACAACTCCCCGAAAGGTTGGAGACACAAGACATGGAGGAAGGCGGAGCAATCGAGAGAATGCCTGAGATCCAGGTGTAGTCGTGTCTGCATATCCAAGCGCAGGACGGGCAGACAGGTGAAGGAGGAACCACAGACTGGTGGCCGTACACTCTGAGACAGAGGGAGCACTGCTTTGGATCAGACTGAATCACAGTTAACCTGCACTGACACTGTGTGGACAGGGTGGGGGGGCGGCAGAGAGAAAGGGGGCAGGAACGACCTTAGCATCGCAGACGGTGATCGGTGGGGGCTTCACTGGGGATCGGATTGTTCAACAAACAAACAGCACCAATAGGTAAAGGGCCTATTCCCGTAAAACAGAGGGGGGAGGATGGTGTCGGGGTGATGATCTTTCTCAATGCAGAGAGGTACATCCTCATCACTGCAAGCATAACAATCAGGATTTTGACTTCATCATGAGATAATGACTTCTCAAGGAGTGAAAAAATCTACAAAAACGTATTAATGATGATGCACATGAGAGGTTCTCTGCATCAGATGTATATTATAAGTGATTACGCCCCTCGGTGTTATTGCTACAGCTGATTGAGAAGAGAACCGCACCGACCTTCACATTTAGGAAAGAAAGACACTGCGGCATTTTTTTTCCCAAGGACACGTTGACATGAAATAGACGGGGATCAAGAGTTGCTTTTCCAAAGAGACAACTTTCAAATTACACAAACACATTGTATCTATTAATTATACAAAGAAAACATTGCTAAGCCGCCTTAGTTGTCCGTTGTAAACCAGTGAACAGATGGCCTTCAAAAAGTGATCTGGGTATGTTCCATAAGATCTCCATTGTCACACACAGACACACAGACACACGTACAAGCAAACAACCACACACACACACACTCTCTCAGCTGGAGTCGACACGCTCGAGTCAGGTTACCCAGGGGGAATGTGCCTTGAAAATCAAAAGACATTAGCCAATTAGAACTGATCAATAGTGACAGCCACACAGGGAATGAGCCGGACATGGAGCGTGGTTAATGTGTGCCTTGGGGCCAATCGGCACGCTGGGAATGCTCTCACTCTCGGCTCTCGGCCAATGAAAACGCTGGAGAGGTCGTGACATTCTGCTGCTCTCTGATGCAAAGTGTCTTTCCCGCTGTAGCTCGGTAGAACGGAAACAGAAAAGTGAGATGAGCGACGGAGCGACACACGAGGCGAGGAGAGAGGGGGGGGGGGCGACAGAAGACGAATGTGACGATGCACGTGCTGGGTTGCAAAAGCAGGTGTCATTGTGGGCGGCAATGGGCACGGGAGGTGGTACTGCGGTCGTCGCAGGGTGGCTCTCCCCGTCTCCCATAGAAATATTATCAGGATTAATGGGAAGATATGGATATCGAAGCCAGAGAAGAGTAAAAGCCGTAATTCTACCTTTTGCACATTCTGCACACGGACGTGAATCTGCTCAGATGGTCCCGGCAGCACCTCGGCACTGCAATCGTTGTGTATTAATGATGAGGAGGACTAATATCGACATGGGGGCTTGGGATTTACTGGGGATTTAGTAGGGAGGGAACTAAGGAGGAAGGGGAAGTAAAAAAAATAAGTGATGGGGATATCTAAAATATTACACCTATCAGGGGGAGTGTTCAGTCGAGCAGGCATTATGAGATTGTAAATTACATTCCTTCCTTCTCCCCTTTCGGGCTGTTGGCTGTGGGATGAACAAACTCGCCCACGGCTCCAGGCACCCGGACACACGCTGCACTGCCTACAGACACTGGGAATCAGATTAGTCCCATTCTGTGTTTAGGTTATTGTTACAGACGTCGATGCGGCGTCTCTTCTACGGCCTGTTCTGTTTTTTAGTGTTTAAAGAGTAAAGTGAATTATAAGTCATTTGTCTCAATTGAGAGGAGATCTATAGTAAATCCCTGGTCCGTGTAAAACACCCAGCGTCAAGTGAGACAGCTTCCAAAGGAGTAGCACAGATGAGCCTGTGAGTCTTTGCTTTGTACAATTCCCAGAAGAGTGCAGCAGAAGTTCAGTGAAGCGCTTTCACTTCCTTTTAATTTTCTTCCTTTATTTTTACCCGACCACATCTATAAAAAGTGTTTTCTTTGCCTCCGTTCATTTGAAGAAAAATCCTTTTTGAAAAAGAACACCGACGAAACATTATTTGACAATTTGAACAAACTACTTTGCTAAGAATTTTATGAATAATCTCAAGTGAAATAAACATCTTTGGAGCGGTAAAGATGTTAAATTGAGATTTCATAGACAAGAATTCTGACACTACAAAATAATCAATTTATTCTGTTCTGTTGTTATTCTGTTAAATGTTCTGACATGTTCTAAACACAATAGTTTTTTGTTCTTTCATTTCCGGTAATACATATCTATTTATTCACTTACATTACTTTACATATGCACATACTCTGCACTTTTTGCTATTTTGCACTTCTGGTTGGATGCTAAACTGCATTTTGTTGCCTCAGTACTCTTTGCAATGACAATAAAGTTGAATCTAATCTAATCTAATGTTTTATTATTTTGCTTTGTGTATTACAATATTTTAGCAGCAGCAGATGGAAAGCTTTGTCTCTGCTCCTGGAGCAAACTCGTCTCTGAACGGGACTTAGAGAGAAAAGGGTAACAAGGTCACAAAGCCATCGGCAGGCCCGGATGTCCAGCGATGTTTGTTGAGCGCCGGCCAAACCGAAGGGCAGCAACTTGAGCCGAGAGCTCATTGCTTCTTTCCATTAGGGAACCGTTAAAGGAAACAATATCCCTCAAGTCGCCTTTCCACGTCTCCATCCTCCCCGTCCTTCGCCCTCCTTGTCTCCACCTACCAACTACTCCTCTCTTATCCAATCAGGGTCGCTGTTCCAGGGAGAACTGCAAGTACCTGCATCCTCCCCCCCACCTAAAAACTCAGCTGGAGATCAATGGAAGGAACAACCTCATCCAGCAGAAGAACATGGCCATGCTGGCCCAGCAGATGCAGCTCGCCAACGCCATGATGCCCGGCACACAGCTTCAGCCAGTCGTACGTATGCAAACACAGCTCGCACGAACACAAAGGAAAATGCCTTTTTTCCCCATGTTATTGGATATACGGTTAAAGTTATGCTCAAGTTATTGTGATAAACGGTAAAACATATTTTCACAGTTTAGACCAGTATCTTTTGTAATGATTGCGGATCTGGGAAAGGCTTTTGGAGCTCAGAGACTTTTTGAATAGTCCTATCGTGCCTAATAACCCGGCACTGTTTGCGGAACATTGGTTTTCAACAATAGTTAAATTATTGTAATAAATTCGGCTTAAGAAATAAATAAAATTATTGCACAGAAAAAGATAAGAGAAATTTAGAGACATTAAAACTTTTAATTAGACAAATTGGTTAGTGAGCTCCCAAACAGACAGATTGCTGGAAACATGTTATGCAGTTCAATGCATGGTGCTTGTATCCGCCTTTACGTGCGTTTAGGTTTCATTTGATTTAATATGGTAATGTTAAATAAGTTATTAATGCCGGGACAACACAAGTGTTATTGATCTACATGTGATGTGGTCCTTTAAAAAATGCTGAAAATGGATTTGACTCGATGCTGCCTTCATTGGTACTAGCCAAAATAACTTTATCTATCCTCCAACTGTCATGAATGGGGGACAGGAGACAGCCGTGAGGTAAGTACAATAGTTTATTGACACAATAGCAGAACCAGACGGGATATGATGAATAGGCAGGCAGATGATCAGGATTGAACATTAACAGGAGGGTAGTCCGAGTTCCAGGTTACAGACAGGAGGGGTCCCTTTGAGCAGGGATTCAGGCACGTAGCGTTGGAGTCTGTGGTGTCCTGTAGAGACCAGAGAGTGTGTGAAGAGGAGTCAAATATAAAGGGAGGTGAACTGATGGGGATTAGAATTCAGGGGATTGTGAACGAGTGGGAGGAGTGAGTGAAGCTGGTGGGATCCTGACACCAACTGTATTTGAAGAGCGAGGTCAGCTGCATAAGATAAAAAGGCCTGATCAAGAGAAGCCTAAACCTTTAGTCTGCTGTATGTCTTGGGACACCCGAAGCGTAAACCCAACCGTGTCTCTTTCCAGGAATCCTGGAGATACTTCACACACCCTGTCCTTAACACTTTCTCCACCACGAGACTTTTGGGCTCAACTTCCCTTTAAACAGTTAATCAGTCATTTGCAAAATTGTTTGCCGATTCATTTCCTGCCAACTGGCTGATTGATCGACTAAATATTTTCACTACTGTCACGTCAGCCCACAGTGATCAAGCGACGTACGAACGACGTGGCCCCGGCATCGGACACTGAAGCGAAACGCATTACACTTGTCAGCATGACTGACATGTGCTGCGTGCTCCGCAGAACGTCAGGGTGATGCTCAGAGCTGCAGTCAGCCAGCTCAGATGAATCCTTTCCTACCTGCTCCATGACAACTTACAGAGGCAATGAGGTCTGTCAGTCGGGCTGGAAGTGATTCCTCTGTCTTCTCGTCTGTGCCGGCACGCTGAAGTGAGAGCAGTGGAGTCTGAAACTGTTCAAAAGAGCTTCAGATGGTGCACATGCTTGGACACACGCGCACATGGACACTCAGCCGAGGGCTTATCACCCTTATCCGGGGGGTGGGGAGGGTGGGGTGGGCTGAGGCGAGAGGCCCATTGAAAGGAGGACAGAGGAAACCATGAAAGGATTTAAAGAAGCAATAGATCTCCCCCCACCCCCCAGACTGCAAGGCCTTTTCTTATCTGTTTATATCATGGGCAGAGAGGAAGAAAGGAGAAGGGAGGAGGATGAGGAAGACAGGCTGACAGAGAAGGACACAGAGGGAGAAGAAAGGGACGGACTGCGGGAGGCGGGCCGAGATAAATGAACAGAGTAGAGACGGGTCGGTAGAGTGAAGGAGATGACAGCGGGGAGGAGAGATGGCTTTGGACCTGCACTACAAGGAAAAAAGGAAACAGAGCCGTGTCGTGTGCAAAGGCAATGAAAGGGTCAGAGCGGGTTGCAGCTTTTTCAATGAATCAAGACTTCATACTTCCCTTGTGTTTTGGGCTTATTTCCCCGCCCTAATCGCTGGTATAAGACCAATTATATCTGCTGCCCTCCCCGTTCTGTTGTCTACAGCTGGAAACCCTCCCTCTGTGTGCGTAGGACAGTGCTTTCATTTGATCATGGTACTGTGCAGAGGGAGAAGTAATCAAGGCCTTACAGCTGTCTGTGAGGGATAGCGCTCCTGATGCTTTTTATTAGAGAGCCCACGTCAACCGACGGCAATTACAGTGCCGTTTCACTCGCTCGGGCGCACTTTCGCTGTACTTGTGTGTAGATGGTTGTTGGAAATTAATTAATAAAAACCATAAAATTGTAGCAGGTTGGATTATTCTATTTTTAACAATTCTAATGTAACGGTTGTGCCATTTGTGGACTATGTTCAATTAATTTATTCAGCTAAATGTTGCAAATATGGACTGCTTATTATTTTAACATTAGACAGTAAAAGGCCAAAGCGCATCATGTTTAGAATATGACAAAATTAATAACAGGTCTGGCTGATCCCATGCTTTTATTTTTTCTGTTTAACTCTTTGAGAGCATCGGCGATTCCCTCATAACCTTCTATTGTCTCATAAAATGCTGACGTAGAAAAGTTTTGTTTTAATTGATTAAATCGATCCTTCTGTATGAAATGCTTTTCTCATTCTGATCGAAGGTAAATAAAAAGATGTCTCTTTGGAACGTCAAGATTATCTGAAGAAGAGGTCAACAATTACAACACTGCAGCAACACAAACTGCTGCATTGCGAAGTTTATCCGTTCCCACTAAACCTGCTCAGTTTAACATAACTGCTCATAATCCAATGTGATTGTGATTTTTTGCAAGAACAATATACAGGTGAAAAGACAGCTTCTTGCGAGATGACATCAGCGCATTGTTACAGCCTCATGAGGGTTGTTTCACTGACGACATACAAATCTTGATTTTTCTTGAGAGATATCTACTTTTTCAGAGTACTTTATATGACACAGTTCATTGGCACTGAAAGAATTAGAAAGTCATACTTGATTTTCCGAGTCATTCCAGAGCAGTGAGGAGGTTTTGGGAGGAGTAGGAGTCCGGAGCTCTACTTACTTACTGTGTTCTGTTGGCAGACCCTCAAGAGAGGAATCCTCACACTGGGCCGGAGGTCAGGAACGTGCAGGGAAAACTTGCACTGCGCAATGCCAGCTACTCCTTAGCCTCCCTCTCAGTCCTTCAAACTCCAGTAAAGGACACACGGGCACAACACGTTTTTCGCAATACGTTCTCACTCAGATTTATTTCCAAGCAGGAGGGACAAGTAAAAAGATCATTGTTCTTTGGCGTTATGCAGGGAGATTCTTACTGGCGGGACGTCTGTCCCGAGCAGCTGCAGGAAAAATTCCCCCCCCCGCTCCAGACACTGGACTCCACCGATGGTGGCTGATCATTCTGCTGAGACCAGACGCTGATGAAAAAATCCTTTTGAGAAGAACAGCAACTTTTGAAAAGAGACTGCGGAAAAGTAATAGGCTAATAATTCAGGTGTGTCACAGCACTACGCAGCCATTTTAAGGTGCGGTAAGGAGAAAAAACAAGTAACTTAAGTGTCAAATCATCGGAGAGTTTTCCTGTAGAGCAGGTCCAGACTGTACACTACATTTAGAGACCCTGTTTCGTCATTAGGCCAACTTGCAGATTAACAATATAACCTGAGAAATGACAATAAAAAAGAATTACTGTATTTGTCTCAAACGACTGCACTTGTAGTAACATACTTGATCAACAGCCGCCCAGGTTCTCTACAGTCTGCTCAGACAGATGATGACTTGGTATTGGAACTTCAAAAAGCAAGCGCTTGATTTTCCGACACCCTTATTAATGAGGGGAATAGATACAACCCAAATGACTCAGCTTGATCCAGGCTTTAGGAACATCAACTGAAATCCAATTTAGTCCCTCTGGATCTCCCTCGACACACCCAGAGACATCCAACATCTCCATGCTCAAATCACAGATGAAGTTATTTATCGCCTCGAAACGCTGTTGAGAACAGGACTCATGTTTTCAACTCTATTCTTGAGCTGCATGAGTTGGAAGTGACTTAATCCGGGGCTCATGCAGTGGCTGAAACCAGGAGGAGAGCGCCAGAGAAGACAAGCGGTCCTGAGACGTGCATGGACAACTTGCTAGATTTAACAGTAGACTGTGTGACGGCAAACCGAGTAACCGGTGGTACCGAAGGGCTAAAGAGAGGCGACCGCAAGGTGGCTAACTATGAAAGAAGATGTCTGCGCTATGAGAACAGCTAATGGCCTGATTGACAGTCCAAAACCTTGACAGCATTGAGATTTCAATTGAGCATGCATGAGGTGTGTGAATGGCTGCACGTATGAGGAATAAACTACGGACAAAGTATCTTAGGCTGAGCTTTTGTTAGAGCTCCATTACTCCTGTGTGCCTGCGACTCCATCTGATGCGTTTAGGAGTAGGTGACATCATATGGAATGAATGATAAGCAGCCATTAAAGTGGTCATATTGGTTTTCCATCATTAATTCTCTATATTTGACATGTTTAAATCTTTACGTCCACATTCCCAACCAGTTCCTGTCTTCTGCTTGGCTGTTGATAAAGATTTACTAGTTTTCATATCTTGTATCATACATCATCCTGAGTAGGATTAAGGAAGGAAGGCAATATTCTTTCTGATGGATGTAAATATTCAGCAGTTTTCTATTTAAGTGTGTCAAGATAGTTTTGTTCAATTTGGGCCAACTCTCTCTTTGACCCCCACTCTCTTCCCCCACAGCCCATGTTTTCAGTCACACCCGGCCTCGCAACCAACGTCAACGCTGCTGCTGCTGCGTTTAACCCTTACCTTGGTCCTATGTCGCCCGGCCTGATGCACGCTGACATCTTGCCCAGTGGCCCCGTCATGGTCACCAGCAACGCCGGCATCTCCGTACCTACCGCTGCTGCTGCTGCCGCACAGAAACTCATGAGGACGGACAGATTGGAGGTGAGCGGATCATGCATTCACACACACACACACATACACACACAGACGCAGGCATTGAGTAGGATCGATGTGGCTGCACGAGCACACTCATTTACAACAGAGAGAGGAGAGAATTTGCATAATTATTAATATTTCTTTTTTTCTTGCTTTCATATCAATCGGAGATTAAAAGATAGATTAACAAAGCTCTAGTAAACACTGCGCCCGACAAGGCTCATTTTTCCCAGCTATGCAAACAGATTGGTCTTTGAAACGTGGGCTTTGCATGTTTGAATATTAAATACAAGGGTTGGAAAGTCTTGCCGCCACAGTTTATGTTTGTAGACTTTAATTATGTATCTGGTACACCGTTTCTGTTACAATAACTACATCATATTATCATAGAATTGTCATTAGACACACTTATGCAAAGAGAGAGATATGTTAATGAGAGAAAACAAACAATACGGTTGTCGGCGCTGCATCCCATCAACGGCGGGGAGACAGCATTGTTTGGCACCAAGTTAAACTGTATCAATTTTCAGATTTTTTTTTGTTTTCTCTGAAGTCCATCAGTCATTTGAAACCCGACCATTCCTCTAGCTGTGTTCAGATAATCATTAATTGGAATGTAAGTCGATCTCATCCATTACGCAGCCGCGCCCGGTAAACACTTTCACCCCGGAACAATGGAGAAATCATTACAGGCAGGCGGGGGCCAGGCTGGAGCGTTAGGAAGGTCACATTTGAAATGTAATGTTGGGTAGCTGGGTAATTAACGGGGGGGGGGGGGGGTGAGGCGGAGGAAGTGTCTGGGCCCGATGAATGAGTGAATGACATGCACAGCGACGGTATGTGGTCAATCCAAGGATGCATGGAGCGAATGGGGCGGGAGGAGTCATGACTGGTCATAGAGGTCAAGAGGAGACAATGAAATGTTGTAGTTAGAAGAACACGCCGCATTGATTGAGGGTTCCAATTAACTGCCTGGCAAAAGAGTGATAGAATTCCACGCCAAAGTCTAATAAAAATATATTTGAAATTTAACAGCCCGCTGGAGGTAAAATCCGCTGAAGACATCTGGCCAGTGGTCATCAGTCCCTTTAAAGCTCAGCCTGTGTGCTGGTGAAGTGCTTTGATTCTGAGAAGTCGTACCGTAGCCCAATTTTAAACTAGGTTCGCTAAAAATATCTTAGCAAAGAGGGCCAGACATATTCTAGCTTCTGTGTGTGTTTTTCAAAATGAACATACCTGGGATTCTGTAGACACACACACCAGTAAGAAGAATTGTTACAGGATATTTCCTTAAAGGTTCAGAGAAATTCCTTTTTGAGAATATAATACTTTTCTCTGTCTCTATTTTCTATGGAGCTATATTGCGGCCATTCTGCATGCACGCAGTCATAATGTTGCTTACCTGAAACCAGAGTGATGTAAAAGGTCCAAATAGAAGGACAGTTACCATAGGGACATAAATACATTTATCAGGCCCTTATTTGTATATGCACCTAAGCAGCTTTCTGTAATGCATGATTAATCACTGTAAAGAGAAACAGGCTCCACGCCTGATGCAGAGAGCATCGAATTGCTTATATATTTATATTCACTCATCCCAAAGACTCTCAGTCTGTCTCTTGATCTCCATCTGTCTGTCCTCTTTGCCACTATTCCATCCATTTTCCACTTCCCCCCTTTGTTCCCCCCCTGAGCCCCTCCCTCACCTGCCTCTCCAACATCTGCCTGACAACAGGAAAGTCTCTCTCTCTCTCTCCTCCTTTTAAAACAATACGATCCGTACGGCAGCACTGGTCGATTGTGGCAGCGTTGGGGAATTAATGTGTGTGGGTGACTGTGTGGAAAGAAGAGACGGACAGACGGACAGAGAGAGAGAGAGAGAGAATCCCGCCCCATCGCTCACGCATGTTGGTGATTGCCGATGATGAGCTGTCATGGCGGGAGACGGAGCAGGGTTAGTTTGTAGATTACACTGTTGGTGGCCTTTTGTCTGACAGCCGCTCCACAGCTAATCAAATCCTTTATGCATGCAGACAGTGAGACGGGCAAACAGACATTTGGCAAATGGCTTGTTCTGTGACAATAACTGATTGGTCGATACCACGTACCATGAAATTACATCTCATTTTGAGAAGGATAGTATTTGAGAGCAATTTAGACTCGGCGGTGGCTGCCAGTGCTCAAACAGAGATCCTTAGTTATTACACAGTTATTTACACGTACAATTTTCATTCTGGGGAAAATGCTCCCTCATAATTTATATGTGCTCTCACCTTGTGTGACGTGTGCGTTACTTATTATGCGCCGCGAGGTAATTACGTCAGCTGCAGGCTCCCTTGAGGGTAACCCGCCTCATATTTCCCATGAGCCACGTACGAGCGCCTCCATTCAGGCTGCCGACCCGTCTTGCAGATGCTGCCCCCTTCTGTCTCCATGAGGAAGAACAATAACACAGCTCATTTGAATAATGGATAAATGGTGCGTGATTGATGAGTCTGTAAACGCTGGTTACGATCTGCTCTTCTTATCAATCAACAGTAATGGCCGTGCCTGTCACCAGGATTGGTTAGCTCTGTCTGGTGAAGTGATTGTCACGTTCTGAAATGACTCAACAGATTGATTAACTCATCAAATGTGAAGTAAAGTGAACAGTAAGTCCATAATGTGTGTGCGGGTCTGCTGTTTGTTACAGTTGAGTGTGTGTGTGTGTGTGTGTGTGTGTGCGTGATTGAGGTCTCATTGTCATATGAACAAAATGAAAGTAAAACACGTTTTTTGTGCCCCAGGTTTGTCGGGAGTACCAGCGGGGTAACTGCACACGCGGGGAAAGCGACTGTCGCTTTTCCCACCCTTCAGATAGCACTATGATCGACACCAACGACAACACGGTCACTGTGTGTATGGACTACATTAAGGGCCGCTGCACGAGGGAGAAGTGCAAGTACTTTCACCCGCCGGCTCACCTGCAGGCCAAGATCAAGGCCGCCCAGCACCAAGTCAACCAGGCGGCAGCTGCTGCAGCCATGGTAGGTATCTGTCCAGAGTCTACGATACCAATAGGGATCTATAATACAGAGCATGTACTGCAGCAGAGCATGATCACCTGATCTATGAGATCAGTTCAATCAACATGACCTCCACATGAGCACGGCTTAGTTAGATGTATTTGTTTGGTGTTGGTTGCGCTCTTATCGTTACATTTTTGCTTTTGTTGGCTGCTGTTTATTTTGAACTTGTCTCTGAAATGCAATAATAACTTTCTATAGAGACACAATGAGGTTTTTCTCAGTCAAATTGTGTAGAGAACATTATGCAGCAGGTATTCCAGAGAGGAGGGTGATTTCAATTGACCTTTTGAGTTAAGGCTGAATTAGGCGTATTATGATCCCACATAACTCCACATTAACACAATTGAGTCACTAATAGCTGCCCTTTTTAGCCTCTTCACTTTTAAATGTTACATCTCGGGAGCAGATTAAGTCATTTAGTTCACCTTGTATGACATTTGGTGAAAATTTTACAATGTGGATCCCACTTGGACTATATTATTTGAATTATTCGTTCTTTCAACCAGGATTGCGTCATGTTTGAATTTAATAACTGTGGTTGATTGGCTGAACTAAAACACCATTACATTCAACTCTTTAGTTGATGAAACCGAATTTACTTCCGACAACAAACCCTGAAGCCGTTTATGCGCATGTCTTAATTGTGTTATTGTTGTATATTTCAATGATTTGTTTTGTTTGTTTGTTTATTTGTTTTTTTTGTTTTGTGTTTTTTTTCTCACAAACCCACAATGCACTGCTGCCTCCATGATGCATCTCTGCTTACTGGTTTATATTAACGCGCTTGAACCCCATTGGCCCATTGCCGTCATGTGCTCGCTGCCTGCTAATTAAGACTCGGTCGGCCTTCGAATCAATGAAGCGACCCCTGGACGCAGCTTTTGACCTGGTACTATGACCTTTCACCTTTTAGCTTAGCATGTAACCTGGATGTAGTAGATTTACCTTTACAGTTATCAAACAAAGTATGTAATGATGCAATATTAAGGGGCGATTAACTGATTGAAGCCATATGTTTTGTAGCATACTTTTAAAAAAAATGTTTTTATTTAAAAACACATCAAATAGGAAACAGTGGTCAGTTCATCACCTTAATTGCATCTCAAAAGAAAATAATTGGTGGCATGAAACTGTAATATTTTAGTCTCTTATAATGCATGGTCTCTGCATGATTCTGTCCCTTCCCACTTTGCATGTGTAATTGTTGAAGACGTGTCTTAGCATTGCTTGCAGTGTTTTCATGGAGCCGGCTTTGCCGCTTTCCCTAACTACATCCCTCCTGATGTTGATGGTCCACAAATCAATAACTAGTATCATAGCTGCCGTTGCAGTTCTCATTACAGAGAGTTCTAATTCCTCAGCTTGCAAAATATCTATTGGAAGTACTTTTTTATTTGCCATCACATCATCAGGTCAGTGACAGTCAGTGAGGACATTCTTGTTGTTGTCATTACCAAGATACAGTTCAGTTTGTCAGCTAGCAACGCTGTCTTTCTCTCACAGAAGGAGCGCAGTTCACTGCTTGCTTGCCACAGTTTCTCACAGCTTTTTTGGATGGGCAACTTTATTTTTCAATGAAAGTCTTTCTTCTCTCTGTCTTGAATATCACTGCTCCCGTTGTTTGGGTTCCCCTCACTCCCATCCCTTTATTTTGGTGTTTTCCCCCCTTCAGGGGCTCCCTCCCTTGCCTCCTTTACCAAAGAGACCTGCACTTGAAAAAGCCAACGGTGCCACCACCATGTTCAACCCTGGTGTGTTCCAGTACCAACAGGCTCTGGCCAACATGCAGTTCCAGCAGCAGGCTGCCTTCATACCATCAGGTAAGGTCAACTCTTGTTTGTTGCAGTGATCTCATCGCTATTGGCTGTCAGGTCACTGGCTGTTTTTATTGTTGATGACAAGATGGAAAAATGTACATAATCGTGCATGTACTGTGAATACAGCATAGGTGTAGGTTGGGAAGCAAAAATAAGAGTGTATATGTGTTTAAAACATCAACTTAACCAATGTACATCATGTTGAACATGGTATTTTTTATCTATAGTCTACATTACGCTTATTTGAGAGCCAGAGCTTTATAGCAGTAAATGCTAAATAGCTGGTTGCAGCAACTCAAATGCAAGGGATGATTATAAATGTGGAATGCTTTTATTATTAAAGAGCACAGTTAAATACAATATGTCTGACTTTAGAACACATGTAATATTTTTTCTTGATTTCTTCTCCTCCCTGTCCACTCCACTCCCTGTTGAAATGCATGATGGGAAGGCTCCATATTGTGCATGACACCTGCTACAAGTGTTGGTAGGTGCCGGCTTTCCTTACTGATTATATTTGAGCTCATTGCTGTCACTCACGTTTCTCCACACATGCTCCTTTTTGTGAATTTAGACTGACATGAGTCTAAAATGTCAGGGACAATCTCCTTTCAACTCAGCCAACGATGTGGTTGACCAAAATGTAAATTGTACGTTTTGAATTTAGTCGTGTCGTTTAATGTGGAAGTTATGTGTTTTATGATGCACATTTCTGTGGCGTTGAATGAACCAAATCTGTCTCACATCAAAATCTTGTTGCAGTTAAACCCACACACACACACACACACACACACACAATACACAATGTTTTTAACTACTAACAATCACAAGAAAATACCATGGACTCAAAATACCAACAGATGGACAGAAGTACAAATTAAGTAATAACAAAAAAGAGCTTTTAATCAACTTCCTGTGTGATTTTTCCCTCCAAGTACCCATGATGCACGGTGCTAATCCAGTCACTGTGTCTGCGGCCACAACATCTGCCACAAGTGTTCCCTTTGCAACGGCAACAGCCAATCAGGTGTGTTCCACTTCTATTTCTGCCTCTCTTTCTACACGTCTGGGTACACGCAGTGTCAGATAAAGTATTTTGGTATCTCTCACTTTTCCTTTTGAATGTTTATGATTCCCATTTACCTCTTTGTGTTTAATGCATGAACGGTGCACATGGCTTATATCCATTATTAATTTTGGTTGTTTTTTCCTCATTTCAACTGATGATTCTGTCTCCTTCCATCTTTTTCTCCTTGTTCATTTCTTTCTGCCTTTCCCCTTCCCCCTGTTATTTTCATCTTTCCTCCTTTCAATCAGATTCCAATGATATCTGCTGACCATCTGAATAGTCACAAATATGTGACCCAGATGTAGGAGTCTCGATCAGACCGGTATGCACCTCCTTCTAACTTCTCACACACTTGCATTTGGAACATTCACTGTCTGCTACTTTTTATCCAAACAGCTCTCATGTGAAGGATTTGCCACAACAGTATTTTCTTTCTTTTTTGAGAGAAAAATATGTTTTTTTGACAGTTATCCTTGTTATTATTATAATTGCTGTTGTTGTTATTAATATTAGCCTTATTGTGGATTTATTTCTATTTATTCACTTTTTCAAAATCAAGAAACGTAAAATTTAGAGGACTATTTAGAGGAAGAGAATAATTTCACTCTCAAGTACTACATGAGCTAAGCCAGCTTAGCTTTGCTTAACTTAAAGCAAAGCTGAGCAGCCAGTCTGGCTCCGTCCAAACTTAAAATAACCCACCTACCAACACCTCTGAAAGTCACATTAACATACTATATTTTACAGTTTGAATCCATTGATATTAGCTATACACATAAAACATGCATAATTTGCCTTTGTTTTGAAATTGGTGTCAGCTTGTCATCTCTTTTTTTCTTTATTTTGTCAACTTCTTTCCAGATGCAACTGGAGCGCACTGATGTTTAGTCCGAGATTAGCCGTCATCTGTCTCCAACATTAAGAACAAAACTGATGAGCAATTTTAAATTGTTCTGGGATAAATCTGCATGTTGATATAGGAGGCCCAGTTTGTGAGGATTCTTTTCCTGTGTACTTCATGCACCGTATTACACAAGAACAGAAAAGAACTTTCATTTTCATCAAAGACTGCCTTTCGCTCTGTAGAGGCAACTAACCTTTATTCACCGGACACACTTTGAATGTTAAACATGGAGCAAAAGAGTGGAAAAGTTGTTAAAAACACAGACTGGATTGGTACGTCCATTGACCAAGTATCATGACTTATGGTTTTTTGTCTGTTCATGGGTCGGTGGTCTTTGAGCTAAATGTGTTCATTTGTTTACACAAAGGTGCACCATGTATTTAACTTGAGGTAAAAGAAATGAATGATCCGAATGAATCACACATGCATGAACAACTACTTTGTTTAAGATTTCATTTAGTCAATCCAGGGATGAGGGAAATCACATGAGTGCACTCAGAGGCAAAATAGCAACTGAATGTCTGTAAGGCGTCTATCAAACCCTTGTAGCCTACCTTTCTATATCTTTAGCACATGTCTTTGACCTTGCAAGCATCCCTGTAAAGTGCCATACATCTCAAAAACACATGAATGGTATTGAAGCAGTTTTAAGAAGTGTAAAAACCCAACAATTCCCTTTAACACGTCTGTTTTGTCTCTTGCACAGCATGCAGTGTAGATTATTGTGATCATTACCTGTGATTCCCAGCAGCACCGCTGTTGACGAGATGACCTGACCCAGATTGTCCACTTTACTCAAATCTTCTACTGAAGGATTATTTTCTTGACTGTCTCTCTGTGGGGTCTTGGCTTGTGCGGCAGACCAAAAGCTCATATTAATGAAGACGTTGCAATGACAACTCGTCTATCAGTTGGTCACCAAACTGCTGTGAGACCGAAGTCAAAATCCAAGATGCAACTGGTGATGGATTGTCCTGATTTGCTTTTTCATTTGTATGGTTTTGCATATTTTTAAGGCAGATTGCCAAAGTAGATTTAGTTTAGTGTAGATACAGTCTGACATGTTTAAAGACATTTGTGAAGTGCATCTACCTGAGAGCTGTTTTCACATAGTCGGCCATAGTCTTTTTGTGTCGCTATCGTACGTAGACCAGTGGGACTCAATTAAAAAAATGTTTTGGCCTCACAAGTGAGTCCGAAGTAGGATCAGGTGTGTATAGTAGATCTCTAGAAGTTGTGTTTTGATGTGCTCTGGGTGTTCTTCAGGCATATTTCACCGGTGGATCGAACAGGGAAAGTGGCACGATTATATAAACGATTGTATTACTCATCCAAAGCCTTAGAATGTACCATCGGGTCAGCACAATGCAACATGCCATTTTGAACCATCCAGTTGCCTAATCCACGACATATTAACTTACACACATACACACACACACACACACACACACAGAGCACTATGTTATTGTCACTTTCTTGTTTTTGTTTGTCCGTTCAATGAAGAGTGTTTTACTTTATTGTTATTGTGTGAGGATATTTTGATGTTTAGTTCATACTTCTAGTCGTGCTCATTATATTTATCGTTTATATAATGAAGATGAAGTTATAAAAATAAGTGTGTGTTTGTGGGTCCCTTATGCACAGTTTTCTGAAATTCCATTCAATGTTAATTTTACTATGATTATCATTGTGAACTGAATATTTTCTATGTTATGCATATTGTTGAACCGTATGTATATTGTTGATTTCTTCAGTCTATTTGTGTTTTTTGAACAAAAATGTTTTATATGAGTATCTAACAGTGATGAAATAATAGAACGGAGAGGCTAAGTTGTCACTGTGGCAACCATCGCCAATAACTAAGTGATATTTTAACGATTGTAAGGTTTGTAACTAGTCATTTAAGGAAAAAAAATACTATTGTAGAAATATAGTTCTTAGATGTTTAGAGTAAAGATGTTATTTTCTACTGTATCCATTTCAAATAGTGAACTTTGTTTTAATATTTCTACTCCCTGGAAATTGGGCCATGTTGGAAAACAAGCTGCATATTTGATCACTTTTTGGGGGCGTCGCAGTCGGGATCAGGTAAAAGGGGTGAGTAGGGAGTCTGCGCACCAATCTCTTGCTTAGCCAACCTGCAAACATCAAGGGAGGGGATGGGCAATCTTGAGGCGATAAAGGTAATAAAGGATGATTTTTTGCACTTCTGTAAATAGTCAAAAAAGAGAGATTCATGTATATTGAGATCTTATTTTGAATAAAAAAAAGTATGTCTATAATGACAGTGAATTTTGCTAGGATAACAAAAAAAAATCTTACAAAAGGCTGAACAAAATTGCTTGCATCAAAAGGGGTCCTCACGCTCCGAACCGTTTCAGAAAAGGCAAAGTGTTGCTCTTCTTTTTTGTCAGCAGCTTGTAGTTTGCCAGGTAACCTTCCGGAGGAGGCCTCCACTAGCCTCCAGTGAAAGGGCCTGAGTGGGTTTGTATGGTCCCCTAACCCGTCTGCACTGACAGGTATGTGTGTCATGGCCACGCCCTACTAGGCCCAACCAATCACAACGCGTCCCGTCTCCTCCTCACAGAGGAATGCATGTTAAAGGAAATACATTTACCGTTTAAAAAGAATCACTGCAGTAATATTGAATAAAAATATGTTACACAGAAATATGTATTTACAGTATTCAATATTATGTCACTGTAATTGAATAAAAAATATATAAATATATATAAAGAAAACACAAATAGGATAGTGGTTTATTTTACAAATATTTAAAAAAATATTCTTGAGAACATACTCCTCAAAGTGCACCACTTGGAGAGTACATGCAACACAAACACCATAGCTAAACGTTTGTTCCTTATGTTTATGTAAGGTGTGCTTCTAGTAGATGAAACGGACCAAACAGCAAACAGGTGTGGATCAACATCAGGTGGAGTTTTGAGGTTTGGTCATCAAGTCATCCGTTTCAAACTGTGTCCTGATCATCTCTCATCTCCTACAAGCACGCATGCCTACATTTATGATATAATGTAAACTAAACTTTTTTTTTTAATTTCATGTTCGTTTTTTTCTGCTTGTAGTGCTAAAATAATGTATTCTGTCCTCTGCAGCAATTTGTTTTGCTTATTTCTTTGCTCAAAGGCCCCTTGAAAAGATGTGTGCACCTCCTCTGTAAAGCACCTGTGGAGACAACCTCTGACCGTCAGAAAAAGCCATAAAATATAAAGTCATCAGAGCAAAATGTGTGTGAGAGAAAAATGATAATGAAACCCTATGAAGCTGAGGGAATGTTCGTTGGGGTTCTATGAACTACAACATCATGTAATAACCAAAGTCGTGACTGTAGGTAATACAACCTATGGTGTGCTGTACTAACTTTGATGGATGTCTGTGGTTCATTGAGAAAACATGTTTTCACCGGGCCTGGATTGCTATATTTAATTATTGCTGTTATGAATTAAAAAAAGGAATAAAAATGTACCAATGAACGAGCAATTGGGTTAAGACATTTTTTCTTGTATATGGGATGTGTAAATCTTGTTCTGTCCATTTAAAGTAAAAGTTCCACATTTCGTTCTTGTCCAGATTTGATGAAAAAATGCCCTCAGATAGTTCGTATAAAGATCCGGCCAGATGCTAGTTAGCTTAGCTGAGCAGAAAAGCTGAAAACACGGTTACAGACCGACATGACCACAGTTTCTCATTCGAGCAAAAAAGCTAATATGCATATTTGAAGCCACATTCTAATGAGCAATCAATCACAAATAGGATTTCATGTAGAATTGTTAATTGTCTAAATAAGCCAACATGTTACATCACTGCTAAACAGGCCGATTACAATACATCACAGAGCCAAAGAGACTGCGAGCTCAATACACAGTTGATAAATTAACTTGATGAAATGTCTAATAAACTAATCAAATCATATTGCAAGTCCTGTAAAACACCCGGAAGATACCATCTATTGTCCAAGATATTATTATCTGTTTTTTTTTTTCATGTAGTTATTGTATATTTGCAGTAACTTTAAATTACACTAGAATCCAGAGTCAACATTGGTCCATCATGTTAGAGACATATTTCTAAATGTTTTATTGTGCCTAGTGACTCCAAATCAATATTGCTCTTTATTTAAATCCTATTATAGATCCAATGAATCATTTTGTCCTTCACACTGAAGCTTGTAATTAGAAGCAAAGATTTTAATTCAGATAGATATATCGGCCTAATCTCTCTGAAAAACATGTACAGATAAAATCTGACTGTGATTTAATTTTAGATTCTCTTAAAGAAGCAAATTCAGTCAGCGGCGTTGAGGTAAACCTTGATATATTTTATTATACTCACATTGCTTTCACAGCGTGGGTCAGCTCAAGTGTTAAGATTAGAGCCTTCTGTGCACGTCCACCCAGTCCTGAAAAGTTGTCTAATTAGCCAAAACAATTAATAACGGCTGCTTGCAGATTGCAGAGGCTTCGTAGTTTGACTTCTTTTTCTCACACTAGTCAGAGACGTGTTGTTTTCTATAAGCCGAACGATAACCAGCCTGTTCAAAGATGTGATGCACGGAACAACCACCAGATGACACCATCTCTTTGTTGGTCGGGGCTCACAGGGCAACGGTGACTTAAAGCAAAACGTAGGACCAAATGTAGACCATCATTTTAGTGACGCACAAATCAAATGTTTTGATGTATGTCATTTAATTTTAAGAAGTATTTGAAAAGGCTGAGATTACTGTTCCCGGTGCTTTGTCTTCCTCTGATCCTTTCACAATCCAATCCATACACATAATGGCGACAGCTGTCGGGAAAAATGAGGCAGCCAGACAGTTGGATGGAAATGACCCGCTGAGGCTCGGCTGTAGTGAGCTGCTGCTGCTGCGTTTGCCAACTCACTGCTTGAGTTGTTGAGGAAACGTTGACCAAACCAACATTAGCAGGAAGCTGCAGGCCATCATCCCCTGTGCATTGTTCTCTTACTTGCTCATTTCTATACCTCAGATTATCTGCCTAAAGAAATTCATCAAACCATCAGGAGCCAAATCAAATTGTCTTCTACTGTTTTCTTTTTTTTTTTACCACATTCAATCCAATCTTCTCTTTTCTTATTTTCTTCTTGAGCAGCTATCTGGTGTCTCTCTTGTCCACTCCGGTTCCTCCCTCCTTGTCTCTTTCCTTTCATTCCTTCCCGTGCATCTCTTTCCCTCCCAGCTTTTGTTCTAGCTCTCCTCCTCTTCTCTCCCTCCCCACCGTCTCTCTGTCCACAGGCGTTTGCGGCAGACTATGTCGTGTGGAGACTAAATGAAGCAATGCTGATCCAATAATGGCAGCTTCTGTCGCCCGCCTGATGTATGATGTACAAGCTCATGTCGGCAACGCATCGCAAACGTCCCCCTCAACCTGCTCAGTTTTTTAATTGGGCTTTTTTTTAATATAAAAGAAGGCTGAATACGTTGAGATTTTGTGTTTGGTTCTGCGTGTGTGAGGATAAAAAGATTTCAACCCCAGGAAACTTGTCAAAAAATAAAAGGGAGTTACAGTGTCAACCCTCCGCTGCATCCTTCCATTAATACACAATAAATGTAATTTAATTTAAATTACCTCTCAGGTGAGGAAAATACTGACCAATACCAGTAAAAATGTAAAAGCTTCCATTTGTGAATTACAGATGAAGACAAAAAAGTGAGTTGGTTTTCTGGATGTCTGTCCACTCTTTTTCTAAAATGACCCCATAATGAACTAATGCTCTGACTGCAGAGGAAATAATGAGAAACCAGAAAGGGAGAGGAACGAACCCCAAAGAGGAGCGGATGGCAGAAGGGAATCTCTATAGTTTTCTGATTATTGAACGTAGCAGAAGGCAGAGTGAAATATAACTGTGTGAAGAAATAATGATGATGCGTTTCCCTTTAAAGTCAGAGATAAAGAACAGCTCATTAACAAAAAGAGACAGACAGGTCATTTCAGAGCTGAGGCATGATTACTAGAAACAACTGTTTGACATGCACCTTTATTTCAAAATAATTGTGTCAACAATTGAATGCACCATCCTCCCCACCTTGACTTAAACAGCAACAGTGTCTCTCCCTCACATGAATTTGTGTGCTGAGTCACCCTGAGTGCTGCTAGGAGCAGAACGCAAACATCCAATTCTCTCCAGGGTATAAGTGTGAGTGTGTGTGTGTGTGTGTGTGTGTGTGTGCATGCATCCAGGTGTATTTGCTTACAGTGTGTGTGTTTGTGTGGGTATGTGTTTAAACTAATTTTGAGTGCATTTCCTTGAGCTGATGGAAAAAGAGAGTGGCAGAAGCAGGCCAGTCCAGTAGCGTGTGTTCCTGGACGAGGCTATTGATTCGGCCGGCTGCGCTCCTTTGCATAATTCGACGCCGGCCGACGCTGCGCTGCCAATAACAGGGCTGTGAGTCTGTTGTGTTTTGATTGGAGGCCTGTAACTGAATGCCCAGTCCCATTTAGGCGTTCCGCTTCCATTTATTTAGCTTCCTCTAATCATACATCAACACATCGCAAGCGAATCGGCTGCTCCGTCTCCTGAACTGTGCCAGAGTTCAATGGGCCGAATATTTTGAGGAAGATTTCAGGGCAACTCCCTTGTGGTTAACTTTAGCATCGTAAGAGGATTGCCTGAATGTCGACGTAGTTTTGCTCTCTGTGAGTCTAGAAACAAGAAATGTTGTAAATGTAATAAATGTAATGTAAATATCAGCCCTAGAAGAACTTCAGAGGAGGGAGCCTCTCGCGTGGGAACATGTTGTTGCAAGCCGGGGACGAAAAGAGCATTATGGAAGACAGTTGTCTAGTGCAAGCCTGTGTGTTGAATGCCACATCGACGTAATATTACACACCAAAAAGTACTTTGTCACGCTACTGCGGTGAATTGCGGGTTTTTGTTGTGCCTTTCTGGACAAGAAAGACTTCAGAAAAATTCCGGTTTTACTGCAGCGGGTCAGACAGGAAGAGTTTGAATGTCTGTGGTGTTTCGGAATTAAAGTGTAAATTCAACGATGCAACAGCTGAAATTTACCCTCAAACTACAATCAGAACCCCACGTATGCAGGTACAGGGTACGACCTTGAGTCACTACCAGCGGCAGAAGATGCAGTTGTTCTGGATATTTTTGGTCTTAGATAGCGGAAGCCGAAGCGTACAAAACCGATATGATGGCATACTGCTAAGAGAATATGGGTCATGCAGAGAGGGTACCGAGGGCACAGCTGTACCCTGATATGAACGGCTACTATTCACATGGTGACAGGATGTCCCTCGGCGTTACGTGTATTCGCACAAAGACGGCAGTAAAGGATGAGGGAGGAGGTCAAGGGAAGGCTTTTGGTCCAATTGGAACGCTGCGTGATATCCTTTATTGCGAGATAATTAGCCAGTGATCTGTCTTTTCCTGGACTGTGGTGCTATTTGAGGGACGGCCGAGGGAGCACTGAGGAAATTTGACAGAAAATGAGAGCCAGAGAGACAAAGCCCAAAGAAAGATTGCTTTGTGACCCCAGAGCTCACAGGAAGAAAGAAGAAGGAAAAAAAAAGTGCGTTGTAACAGCTGTGGTGCAGGCTGGGGCTCATCTTCGTGGCAGGACTCTGTGGACGGCTCGCGGGATGAAGTGAGCCGTCACACGAGTGAGAAGCCAAAAGGGATTCCAGCTTTCAAAGGTGCAGTGGGAGGAGACAGCGGTGAGAGGAGATGTGTGCCACGATTATTCGATGCTTTAATATAAATCAGCACCTCGGGGGGTAGAAAGCATAGAAATCAGTATGCCGCTCGTGTAAGTGTTTGTAGGCGAGACATCCTTAAGCCATCGCTCTCATTAATGGGATTCCTCAACAGCTCCTTTGCTCTTCTCCCCCCTTCTGTCATACCTGTCCCATCTCTGCCTGTGTTTAGCTCATGAAGCAGTCTGTTCACTTGTTCACTGAGACTATCAATATGCTAAAGCGTTTGGCACCTAAATCTCCATCGGTGTAATTAAGTCACAGTTTCTGCCTTTTCAATTTGGAGACAGGAGCTGGTTACCTACCAAGTAGCCTTGGAGGGTAAACACCTTTTTCTCTATACCGATCAAACAAATATTGTTAATAACTGAAAATTTGGTTCCAGTTGGCGTATTTAGCTTTGGACACAGCCTTTTAATAGGATCCCTTGACAAAATACATGTTTAGTCAACTGAACACAATTTTTTCCACTGACGGATAAATTGTTTTTGTTGTTTTCACCGCAGGAGACAGCTCCTTAATATAATAAGAGAAATATGATCCTTAAAATTGGGTCTAATCAGGTGGAAGCTATCATTACACTCCTGAATTACATACAATGAATCTGTCTGTTGTGGTAATGAGAAATTGTTACTTTGTGTTTTGTTCAGGGACAATCACTCTAAGCTGTAAGTTATTTCCAACCGCAGTGTCCAACCCACCACCGTGTCCCTTTACACGACCTTCAGCCTGAGTGTCTTTACACAGGCACCA